TCACTGATAGAGTCTCACTTTATACATATTACGAGAGTGGTCCTTGTAAAATAAGACTGAACTTGGGTCAGTCTGTAATTTATTCGTCTATTTTATTGTTCCAGTTGATTGCCTCAGTAGAGTTCAAAGAGATTTCAAAAAGAATGCGTTGAACTGCACAGTATCATGCCCGCCACCTTGCAGGTGAGAAAACGTTTTTTAATATACATATGATCACCGGGAAAACACTACCATCTTTGAGGAAACATCCCGTCTGGCTAGATAGATGACAACTTGTTATGACAGCACAAGAAGCATTTTCTAAACAGGACCTCTGCAAGCCGTTAACACTTGACTTCTTTGTAGGGAAAGCGTCTTTAAACTAACTTCATCATTTGCGGCCTGGCCATCCACGGGATATGAGGTATGTGTGTTAGTAATACTACTAGCAACAATCTTTTTCTCTTACTGAAACAGGCAGATTTTGACCACATTTTTCAGTATCTTACATTTAAAATAAAGATGTTATTAATAGGCCACTTCCGACTTGTCTTTTGCTTGTGTCAAAACTTGGTGCGAAGAAACCATTCATATGGAAATGTGCTCCGCCTACCGGTTCATTTTCATGCAAATCAAACTCATTTTCATATGAAGGGTCTTGCACGAATACTCGTTTTGAAACAGAGACACAAGGTAACTCGGAAATGGCCTACTAACACGGAGACTAGTTTTTTTCTCATGTTAATTGTTTTAGCCAATCTCTAGCCTCAATGTTGTAAAAATGGTTTTAACTACGGAGTGTTGTTTGTGCCAAAATAGAGGCATAATATAACTGTATCGTGTTTTAGATGAAACGTTGCTAGTCTTTTTTTTATTATTTTTTATTTTTTCAGCCATTTTACATTGAGAGGCTGGAAGCGAAGGATCAATACCTTGAATTTGTTGATAGTAATAATTCAAGGTAATCAAAATGCTTTTTTGTGCTTCAAACTGAAACGAACTACTTTCTCCTACACAATTTATAATTGGGACAGAGACTCCCAAACAAATACATTCATGTCTTCACCTCTCCCCGCTTAGCTGACCAGCTTTCTAGAAGCCCTTGTGGAAATACAGTTGGTTGCCTCATGATAAAGCTACAATTAAACTTCAGGTCGTACCTACCTAGTGTTTTTAGATGAACGACAGAAATTGTTATGTACAACGGGAAATGTTTCATCAAATGACCAACCAGTTCTTTCGTTCAAGAGCGGCCAAACTCTTAAGTATAATCAATGACTGACGAACGGTGTGTACAAAAACCACTCACTTATTTCCATTATAAAAGGTCACCAGACTTGATCTGTATCGCGCATCGTTGGTATCTGCTCCTATCTAGTTTCTGTTTTATCGACATTCTTTTATTATGTTACGTTAAGTTCATATGTTAAAATATGCATTTTTTTAAAGAAAAGAAATGTTGCACCCTCGAAAAAAAAAAAAACAAGTGTCATATTACACTCCTACCTGCCCATAACGGCCACCTCTCTACTACGACCACTTTCCGCTATCCCCTGGGAGGCCGTTGTGGAGAGGTTCCACTGTAAACTGTTAACTAAAACTTATGTAATGTAACTGACCCCATTTCGACCTTTTTGACAGTTTTTTTTTTCAGTAATCTCATTTCCAAGTCATCTTCAATAAGGGAATCTTCCATTATTTCCAAAACATTTTACCTACCAGATGATAAATAATGAAACTTCCATTTTGACTGTTGCATTTCATATTTTCTTAGTTCCAGCAAAATAAGGTCCAACGTCCTAAAGTTGAACATATTTTTCGAAGAACTTAATTTTGAATCCATTACCGAGGAGAGATCTTATGAGGTAAGTATTTAATCACTAAACAAAACTTAGTTAACAAACAAGTTTCCTGTTGTTGGCTAGTTGTGATCACGTGATTTTTATCAACATCATCATCATCATCATCAATATCATATACTTTGTAAGGTAGCTCAGGGTAGACAACAGAATTAATCGCTTTCTGTCTCAGGGACACGAAACAAATTTGGTAGTCTCTTTCGTGGCTCGCAATGGCATTAAAATAGTTGCGATATAGAGACGTATACGCGTAAAATTAATAATTTTGAGGCCAAAATGATTTTTTCCCAACTTAAAGCTTATTCACAATTGTAACAAAGCGTAATAAACCATATACAACTACTTGAGAGCCAAGCTGTGTCGACTTACGTTAAAATAATTCTTTACTAGCGTTACTTGACAAGGAATGCAAATTGTACAAAGTTATCACTGTCAACTATTTTTGTCAAGAATAACGTATTGATCCATCATATTACGAACTCACAATGTGACCAGCTCTCAGCTGGCTTGATAGCTCAGTTAGTAGGGCACTGCACCGGTATCGCAGAGGTCACAGATTCGAAGCCCGTTCAAGCTTGAATTTCCTTCAGGCTTTAAATTCACAACTGCTTAAGTTGTGTGTATAACTGCAATGATCAATCATGTCTTCATAACTTTCTCCGCAGTTCAAATATATGATCTTCCATATATTCACTTGATCCATTTTATGTTCTACCAACAGCTAGCGAACTTCGTCTCTGATCTGGGCGGATCCCTTGGTCTCTGGATAGGAATGTCTGTGCTATCGTTTGCAGAAGTTTTCGAATTGCTGTTGCTAATAGGCTACGCCCTTCTTAGAAAGTTGCGGACAAGACTGAGCGGTAGAATAAGATCATCTTCAATCCCTGGAAGAGGAACCTGACTTGTTGGTAATGAGAAGAATGCTTTCGACGCACAAACCAGCAGTTACATATCACGTGGTTTCGTACTCTGTACAGTTCATTCAAAATTGTGAGAAAAAGACTTAAAACTATTTAAAAGAAAAACATTGATTTTGCGTACAGCCAAGAGCACCGAATGATATTTTCTAGTTCGTTATTCGCTTATTCTCACATTCTCACATGTGACAGTGTTCAAGTCTCTAAGTTTAGGCAAACGTTTCATTTGGTCGTGCTTATTGTATACGCATGCGCAGCAGGCACATTTTAAGCTCTGTCTTCATTCTCGACCCCAGACCCTTCGCTTTCTCGCCGTCCGTCATGCGCAAAAGAGTTCTGGAGTCGTGAATGGCCCTATCTTGTATATTGCAAATGGAGTGCATCACAGACAACTAAAACATTTAGGCGTATAGCAGCAAAACGGCACAAGTAACATGAAACACCAGTCTCCATACAGTACTATCATGAAGTATAGCTATAAATTCAAATAACGTCTCTTTTTTTAGTACTGTACACCGAACTAAGCTCCACAATCACGTCGCAAAAGTAGCAACTTTATTTAAAGAGGGGTCACACGGTGGACGCTGATAAACCAGTGGCTCTCTAACCTAAAAATTAAAAGATATATGATATTAAAAAAGGTGGGATTAAAAAATACGTATACTCCAGAAATATGGGTTAATATGTAAAAAAAAAAGGAGGGAACTTGCATGTTTTAGCTTCCCTGTTTTCTCGACGTTATAACAGTTAAAATGATGTATATGTCGTTTACTACACACAAACATCCATGACACGAGTAAATATCGAAGGATAAGACAAAATTTTCATGCTTTTTTTTTGTAAATTCAAGAGAAAATGAGCATGGGCTCTTGGTAAAATTAAAGAAATATATCACGAATAAATATCATGCCATTGTCATAGGCGCGCCGTCATTTGCTTTGAATGTTGCGGACTGGTTTCTACCTAAATGATGCTATTTATTCACGAGGCACAAAAACGATGGTACATAAGTTACATCAGCTCTTTTGTGATTGTTAAGATAGTGGCATCCTTCGAGATCCTAGTCGAACCGAAAATAGCATACTTATGACTTACAGCCTCGTACCCAGGGCTCTTCCATCGAAATTTGGAAGGGACGGCGCCATCTTCATATTTCAAAGGAAAAGCTCTGGGAACGAAGTTCGATAACATAGCTTTTAATGAGAACCGTGTATTATCTCTATTTGCCCTCTTCTTGCGCGGGAAACATTAAAACCGAGCAGCAACCGATCAAAGATGCTGCTTTGATTTCTATAAGCCAACGTTATTTGTGTGGGATTTTCTGTTCTTAACTTGATTCACGAACAAAGCGATTAGTTCCTAAATAAGACGAATCCCACAAGTCTCTCGATGATTGATCAAGAGCGCAGATAGACTGCTCGATTATTTTTTTCTCGAAAATCAAAGGAAGAACGTAGCGAGTGGTTCGAGACGAAAGGCGGGATTGGTACCAGGCAAGGGTGGGGTGCGCTCGCGTTCCATCCGTTGAGAAAGAAAACTCCCCCTGGACCCTAGAAAAGAAAGCCGACCACATGCGGTCCCTAGCGAGCGAAGATTTATTAATTACTCGTATCTCAAAAACCTCAAGGCGTAAATCTTTGAATTCTGAGTTACCACACTGAGTGCTTCATTCACTAAATAAATTATATCACTCAGTGCCTTCCTCTCCTGTTTAGCTAACAAACTAATACAACCTGAAAGAGCGCCAGCTTGGTAGAGTGTTTGACAAAGACGACTTAACTAACCCTCCCAACAGTCTTCGTTTTTTTTCTTATCTTTACAACACCCCTCNGTTAATTGCTGGTTTTCATTGTCACGCAATTCAAAATAGATCAAAATAAAAATCAAAACCGGTGAATAGATAAAAGTCCAGAATCTGGAAAATGAAATAAGGTAAATATGCAAAGACTCTCGCCAAAATTCTGGTCACAGCAATTTTTCTTATGCGAGATATGCGGAGAAATTTTTTACCCAAATTTATAGAGATT